CATTTGTGTAGCTTCTGTTTTTAACTTCTGCTAATTATTTTGGTTAAATAAATATCTGTTTTGTTCTAAAGGTCTAGGGATTTTGGCTTCTTAAATAAGCAAAGCTTATTTTGTGTCCATTAATTCACACTTTCCTATTCATTTAGCACATTAGCTAATCTCACATTTGAAAAACCAACCAACCCCCCCATTAGCATGGTACTGCTGCATCTACCACTTGACTTTCAGTGAAGAAATTTTTCCTAATATGCAATCTCAGCCTTTTCTGGTGCAACTTGAGGCCGTCTCCTCTTGTCCTGTCATTTGTTACTTGGGAGAAGAGACCAACACCCACCTTGCTACAACCTCCTTTTGGGTAGTTGTAGGGAGTGATGAGGTCTTCCTTCTCCAGGCTAAACACCCACAGCTCCCTCAGCCACTCCTTTTAAGACTTGTGCTCCAGACCCTTCACCAGCTACTTACCCTTTTCTGGACACACTCCAGCACCTCAATGTCCTTCTCATTGTGAGGGGCCCAGAACTGAACACAGTATTGGAGGAAACAGGCAGCTTTCAAACTTTCAGCTCTGGTTTGTGAAAATGTCATCCAGGTGTCACTAGAAGCTGCGGTCATGGAATTGCAGCTGGAGCTGTCACACTTGCAGTTGTACTAGTTATGCCACTTACCTTATCACACTGCAGAAAATAGTTTTCACTCACTTCATGATCATTTGCTCTCCACAGAGAGTAATCTGTTGGCCTGATTTAGAGAAAGTTATTTTGTAATAGAGATATTTCGCCTTACCTTTCTGAGGGGACAGCTAAATCTGTTAAGTTAATGAGTAGGCTGGCTTTGACCTTTGCCTGTTGAAAGCCCTGTTTTGTCGTTCATTGCCGAAGACAAAAGTTGCTATGTTTTCTGCTCAGTTACTAGCCTGAATAATGCAAAGTCCAACATATGCTGGCTCCACTTGTACTTACATTTACACACTATGGTACTCTTCTTCATGCAGCCTTTAATTCTAGTGAGGACCTATACAAGATTTAAGAGTAAATGATTGTGCTGGTTTTGGCTGGGGCAGAATTAGTTTTCTTCACAGTGGCTGGTATGGGGCTGTGTTTTGGATTTGTGCTTAACACAGGGTTGATAGAGATGTTTTTGTTATTGCTGAGCAGGGCTTGCACAGAGCCAGGGCCTTTTCTGCTTTTACTGCCACACTGGTGAGGAGGCTGGATGTGTGTAAGGGGCTGGGAGGAGACATAGCTGGGGCAGATGATTTGAACTGGCCAAAGGGATATTCCAGATCACATGGCATCATGGTCAGTATATAAAGTGGAGGGAAGAAGGAGGAAGGGGGGACATTCAGAGTGATGCGGTAACGTGCAAAATAAAAAAGAAGAGTTTTTACCCCAGATCCAGCACAACTAATATCAATTGGTGCCTTCCTAAAAATGCATAAACTAGCATTAATGCTAATGGTAGCACCAGTGAAATGGAGAGTTTATCACTGTTTATCAGTGTGTGGAGCTTGATGTTATTTAGAGAGACTTTGCAGAGCTGTGGCTGCTTTTCTAGCCCTCCTTCGGAAAGTGAAAGCAATGCATATTTTTTGCTTGCTGTAAGGGAGGAGCCTCATGTCCTCATCCCTTTTTTTTTTTTGCTCCAAAAGTACTACAATTATCATTGCTTAAAGCAAGCATGGTACCTTCTTAGCACAACCTTGCATTTCTTATTCCTGCAGTCCAGAGTAATGACTGTACTTGCTACACCTGAGCTCTGAAGGGGCATTGGTGCACTGAATGCTTACAGGAAGAGCAGGGTGTGCTCCAAAGGGGGCTGGTGTTGCAGAAAGCAGCCTTTCTTCCTGCAGATGGGTGGTGGGGAACACCACAAGGAAGTGCAATAATGAAAATGTGAGGATGCTATGGGTTGGGGGTGACTGGTGCTAACAAATTGTTCATTGTGAAATAATGTCCCCCTGACTGTTCATTAGAGAGAGAAAATATTTCAGCAGATACAAGACAAATTACTGAAGCATAGATTTATCCTGGTGACTTGGAAGCAGTGCTTCTGTCCTCTCTGTACCCAGATACATCTAGCTCTTGTTCTTCTATCTTCTTTGTGGATGTTTGAGTTCTGAGACCCAAATGCATGGACAGAAATGTGGGGTCTTGGCTTGCTTGTGTGTTGCTACTGTGTGTCTATTAGCAGGTTTTCTTTTTCCAAAGTTTTTCCAGGTGATGACAGAAAATGTGTGGTAAGCTCATCTAATGTTAGAATATATTTAATGGCATTTCACCAGCACTCAAATGTACTCTGTACATGCCAGCATCCAGGTATTCTTACTTACCTGCCTTAGCAATGATGTTTGAGCTGCCAAGACCCTGCCTTGACAACAACCTGAGCCATTAGCAAATGAAACTTGCATGTGAGAACTGGAGCAACTGGCCATGCTGCTCAGTGGTGGCAGGGAGGGACTGCAAATGGAAACCCAAGTAATCAGTGTTAAAAATGACAGATTGTGCTTTGTGCTGCGCTGCCCACCTTCATGAGACAGTCCTGACAGGATACTCGTGAACTTATAAACTTCCCGACACACTTCACATAGGAACCTGCTATGTATTTCTTACATTGTTGTTAACCTCTGAAGCAGGCAGCTCAGTGTGGTTGCAAGGCATGAGTGACCCCATTTAACCTATCTTGTTATTGTTGACAGATTGCAGCTGCTAACTGTTAAACTCCAGAGGAATTTGGAAAGTCAGACTACAGTGAACACTGCAGTTGTCAAATATTTTGTCCTGCATTATAAAAAAATTAATACATTCCTTTTCTCAGCCAGCTACAGCAAAGACTGATCAAAGTCTTCTCCAAGTAATGAATGTGAATTGCCTCAGCTAACCCGTTCCCACAGTAATAAACTGGATCAACACTGGCATCCATGTTAGAAACCTACACTTCCAGAGCTATCCTACAAATCTTTTGTAGTTCCCGACTCCTGCGTCAAGCCCCACACAACTGGTGTTTTCCCAGCACTGCTGCCAGCAGGAGCTCGGACAGGTGATAAAGCAGCGGCTCTGGACAAAGCAGGGCTTGTCGCCTGTTTGCAGCGCTGGGGTGGGGAGGGCAGGGGAAATGCCAGGCACGGCTCAGGCTCTTCCGTCCTCACCCCCAACGTGAGAGCAAGCTCAGGAGGTTATCTGGAATGAGCCCTCTTTTGCTGACAGATGTTTGTAGTGACTTTGCAGGTGCTCGTGGGCTCAGCCCATGCTCCAGGGCCGGGACACAGAGCACCAGATGGCCTCGGCAGCCGGTGTTCTCCCCAAGCCAGCCTGCTGAGAGTGGGCAATATGGAGTGTGCAGTGCTGGGAACAGCCATGGCCCCACAGCGGGGCCTGAGGCTGGTCTGCAATGCAGCCAGAGCAATTTGTGCCTACAGGGTTCTCCTTCACCCTGCAGGTCTGTGCTTTCCACCACTGCACTGGCTTATTGTCCAGTCTGGCCATCAGCACTGCAGCACGGAGAGCCTTTCCCTGCAGAACTGTGCTGCAGAGGGGAGGGAATTAACCACCATTAGCAGCAGTGAGGGGAGATGTCATCTCAGCAGGCCAAAACACCCCTCCACTCTCACCTTGAAAAACAAAGCCGCTTGTGTTACTATCTGGAGTTTGTGCAGCTGTGTGTGCCATTGCACAGAAAAAGCCAGGCTTTTCCCAGGGATGAGCTGGACAAGGAGTTTGCTGGTTGAGCTATGGCATCCTTTGTTGCTTGCCACTGCCCATAGAAGGAGCCTGTGGGGATGAACTAAATTTAGCTGGGTTGGTGAATTAGTCCCCTCCCCAACATGCCTAAGAGCTGCACAGGTTATCTGAACAGCAGGGGGCTTACAGCCTTGGTGACAGGTCAGCTTTAACTCACATGAGGACTGGCTTTGGCGTTGTGGTTTGAGTTTGGGTTTTTTGTTATGATTTGGTTTGGTTTTTTGGGTCTTTTTGAAAGGCAGCTGTGCTGTGGTGAGATTAATTGTGAAGGAGAGGGAACAGAGGGTGCAGCAGTACAGCGTTACTGAAGACAGCCAGGACTTTTCAGGACAGGGACATGACCCTGTCTGTAGCTGTTGCAGACTCACCCACTAACCCTGTGCCTGCCAGAGAGGGCCTGTGTGGGGGTTACAAACTCTTCTGTTTTCAACCACTGGCAATTAGTTTTAAGGGAAAGATGACACTACATCAGAACTGTTAATTTTTATACCATTAGGAACAGCCAGCATCTCATATAGAGGTATGAGCAGAGAAATAATCACTGCAGAACACCTCTGTGCTATATGTGGGTGGAGGTTCTGCTGCTCAGGCACCATCAGCCCCTCGTCCAGTGCACAAGGGGCATGTGCTCCCCTGTCTGCATCAATTGCAATGGCACCCTCCAGCAGCTGTGCACAGCAGCAGCACAGGGAACAGGGTATTCCCTTGGGCAGCCACAGCACCGAGGACTGTCCCAAATGTCTGCAGACACGAACAACTATGGCCATGGGATGAGGGATGTGCAATGGCAAGAACCACCCCCACCAGCCTGCACCCAGCCCCAAGGGGGAGCCAGAACAGGGACTATGGCTACTCAAACCTTCCCCTCTTTGCTCTAAGATTCCCTGGTTTCCAGCAAGCATCAAGTGAACATTTTTTCACAGAGCTGTTTCTGACTTTGGGGAACGAAGGGACACCTGGGTGATGCAGTAACAGGAAACACTGACATGTCTGGTCCCATCATCATGAAGCAGTGCTGCACACAGAGGCAGCTCTTGGCTGCCTTGCACAAGGGACAAGCCACCACAGTCTGAGGCCTGGCTGTGCCCACCTGGCCCTTGCTGGGTGCCAGCAGGCAGCTGCTCACAGCCAGACCAGTCTGACTCAAGTTTGTAAATCCCTCCCATTATTCTCTGGGATAAACACAGCCAGGCACTGGGCACCTCTTTTGCTGCCCAGGGAACCCCAATCCCGTGCACAAGGGAAACAGCAGAAAGCAGACACTTCTGCTTTGTGGATTCACCCCATTTATTGAAGGCAAACAGAAGGCAAATAACGGGGACATAGAAGAGTTGTAATCTGACTTTGGCCTCTGATTTTCCTGTGTGATTGACAGCATAAAGGAGGGGGGGAAATCTGTGTATTAAAAAAAAAACCAAACAGTGAAAGAGGGGATGAAAAAATGTTGGACAATTAGTGACATCTTGTGAACAGATGGAGGATTAATAATGACAAGGAAATTCAAAGCCATGCCTAGCATTCCTTATTGCAAATAAGATTCTGCAGGGGGCAGGGATAATGCTTTCCAAGGAAAAGCAGCAGAGGATAAACCATCCACATTGGCTTTGTGAGCAGCACGATTTACTTTGGGAAGACAGTGACCACCTCGTAGCCCTCTGGGGGAACCACCCGCTCCCGCGCGTGCTTCTCACAGTAGATTTGGTCTTCCACGAAGAAGTGTCCTTTCTGCTTGAGATTGGTGCCACAGTCACTGCACACGTAGCACTCGGGGTGACGCTGCTTGTCCCGGATCTTCACAAACATCCCTCTGGGGAAGGAACCAGCACCCCTCAATGCCAGGTGCCCACCACCATCTCCCTTTTCCTCAGCCACCTCCCATCCAGCCCAGACCCACATCAGCCCTGAAGGTGGACCATTTTCTCCTGCTCCTGACAAGTCAAAGTATAGGTTCTACCTCTGGTCAGGCAGATGTTAACAGCACTTTTAGAAGCCCAACATGTGCTGGCATGGCAGCCCTCATCTAGAAGGTGTTTCCCAGCACTGGCCTGCCTAAGTTTCACCGGGACAGTCCTATCACCTGTGGTGACAAGAATTACTGTGATGGCATCTTTAACTGATGGATAAAGCATTCAAATGCCCAGGATCAAACGGCAGACCATCTGGGGGAGCAAAATCCAGGTCCAGAATGACCAGATGGCAAAATTCAGAAATGACTGCCTGCCAACAGCTGAGGTGGATGAAGGCTGCTCAGCCAGCCACTGCCTTTTTGCTAGTGACTGGTACATGTGGGAGAAGCACAGATCCGGGTTCTGATCTCTAGCACTGCTGTTCAGGAGCTGCAGTGAACAGATCCAGCCAAATGTGGGCCAGCCCTTACTGGAAAACTTCATAGCTTAACCCAGCAGATGATGAGGAGAACTACACAGCAACTCATTAACTACCGCCAGCCACAACACAACAATTTTCCAGTATTGTTTTGTTCCAGCAGCCATCTATATTTTCCATAATTCATTACTTTTGAGTGCTATTCATAGCTCTGTGCTTTCTCTCCAGATCTACCCAGCTGGTAGAATAATTACAGGGTTTGTCTCTGATTCATATTTTACAGAGTATGGATTGCCTCTGTAATGACTCTGCTGGTCCAGGTGCTCCAGGCATGCCAGGACCAGGCAATCACAGTGCAGTGAGTCTCAGCAACAGTCTGATAGCTTGTGGTGGGCAGCACTGGAGAAATTGGAATTCTTTCATGACAGTGCAGGTGGGCTACCAGTACTTGACTTCTGTAGTCAACTGTTAAGGGGATTGCAGGCAAGAATATGTGGTTGAGAAACTGAACAATAACTCAGAGACATGGGTTGGGTCCCTCATGCTGTCACACACAGTACAGCAGCTCTGTATCAAACCCAAACCCCTGCTATGCTGGAAGCTGGATTTTACCCACATAAAGACAACAAAAAATATGTCTGTGCAGACGCAGTGGAGGTGTGTGCTCCTACAGGAGAGCAGGGAGCAGAACACAGCTCTACTGGTCCCCATTGCCTCTGACCACCAAGGCACGTCATCCTACCACGTCTGGGAGCGCCAAAACATGAAATGCATTAAATACACAGGCCCTGAATGGAAAGGTCATTTTCTTTCCAGATGCTGTAAATAGATTTCAGGTAAGAAGCAAAACAATGCAGCAACAACTGCTTCGAAGTTCATCTCAGAGGGACTTGCTTTGGTTTTCATTGATATGGATCTGTAGATGGAAACCCAGCTCCTGCCTCACTGCAGAGGACTGCCACATTAGCATTATTAAAGCTGGTGAGAATAACTGTGCCCTGAGCTGGCTCCTGGGTGCACTGGATGTGGGTAAGTGAAGTGGTTTGGGTGCGGTACCTCAGCCCCTCACACAGGCATAGGATGCTTGGCTTGCAACCCCAGGGACAGGCTTACTTACACAATGCCAGATCCACACTTCTCACACATGGGCAGCTTCTGGGCATTCCCAATCGATGAGGCCACCTTTGTGGTGGGGGCTTTGACACTCCTAAATCCAGATGGTTTGGTAGGGTCTCCTGGAGGTGGAAGAAAAGTGCTTCAGAGCATGTGAGCTGTGTGGCTGAAGGCTATTCCACCCAAGCCAGTGCTGTGCTGGGGGCATGATGTTCTTTAATCCCAGCTCTGAGGCAGGGATTCATGCATGGAAAGTGGGCAGGGATTTAGGGATGTGTGAGGAGGAGGGAGAGAAGGGACACAGCTGAACCCGGCCCTGGAAATTTGAGGGCCTGAGGTTGTGGGCAGTCAGATGAGTCTCTTCTCATCTTAAAAGCCCATCAGACTTCAGCTGATGTGTTTCACATGCACAGATGCACAAAGCAAAGCAAAGCCTCAGCCCCAGCCTTGGCAGCACTCAAATCTGCCTGATGTGTCCTGATCACACATTCAGGATCAAGCTTATTTCCAGATTTGGGCTCAGAAAGAGATGGGTGTCCTGGCAAGATAGGGAGGGCTGCACAGTCCTTTTCCAGTCTGCTGTCTGCTATACAGTGGAGCTGGCTGCCCCAAGACTCCTGCAAGATTTAGTTAACAAACTCCTTGTTCTTGTAGAGCCCTGAGATACTGGGGATAACCTTGCACACCCCTGCTGCTGCGTAACGTGCTCCAGGGATCTCCCTAGTGCAACTTCCCTGGGCAGGGATGTTCTGCAGGGCCTTAGCAGGAGACATGTGCTGACCTGGATGCCTAAAACAGCAGTGGATCCTAGATGTGGGATACAAGGCAAGCCTTTAAATCTGCAGGGAAAAAGAAGCCTCTTAAAAAATGACACCAGTGATGGGACATCTTATCTATATGGCTTTTGCAAGGAGTTTCACACAAGAGAAGGAGGGTTGCTGAAACTTCCATGATATCTCACCAACACACCTTGGACTGGGAGGAACACTGATACCTTCTGACTGGTGTCAAATCAAGAGCACACTTACAATGAGTGTTCCTGGTGCAATGGGCAGAAAACCCTCAAAGGCACACCCTAGTGACCAGCAAGGTCAGGGACATGTCACAGCCCAGAGCAGCATCACTGATAGAAGAGCTGAAGGAAAAAGGGGTGAACTGCCTACCACACCTCCCTGTCACCACTGCTCACCCATGGGGCAGGTAATGCTGCACTGGTTTGCCTTTGGAGCAGCCTTCAGCTCAGAGGTTTACACCCAGTGCAGAGATGCTGGTCAGAGGTGCAAGTTCCTTAACCCTCCAAACACAGCAGGAAGCACCTGGCCTCCAACAGAGTTGCTGCAAGTGACTCTCACTGGGAAGGATGCAGCAGCAACCACATTTTCAGACTCTTCCCTATCACCTCTCCCACTCCCTCTGTCTCAACCAGCACTTTGCTCATATCAGCAACACTGACAGCATGTTTTTAAATCTCTCTAAAGGAATTAGCTTAATCAAATACCCACAGGAAATATGACAGGTTCCACCCTGTGAAACACTCTCCACTTAGGAGTACAGGGTAAAGTCTAACCACAGACTAGTCATGGTGCTTCCAAACACCCATGCCCATGCTCAGCCCCTGGGGCCAGGCTCTCAGCTGGTGTAAGTCTGTGCAGGATACAGTCATCGATGCCCCAGGGGACTTGTCCCAGCTGCTCACAGCTGCTATTCACAAGCCATTGCCTGGAGACAGGCTGGGAGAAGCCGCCATCGATGTGCCATTTATCCATTTATTGCAGGACATGCTCTGACTCAATAGCAGTGTTTGAGGCTGGCCCAGCAGCACGGCAGGCTGGGGCACTGTCTCCTCGGGGACAGACATTCCTTTGGGGCTGCGTAACCTCCCGGCCCAGCTCCCCAAGGGTGATTATCAGCTCACGGTGGAGTAATGCCAGAGCCTATCCTGGCCTGTGATCCGGCAGGCAAACCTTGTGCCAGAGAATCCCAATAATGCTGCAAATCTTCAAAGAAAGATAAAACAGAGAGCCTTTTGCTTCTTATCTTCTTCAGCACTACTAAGCACAGGGCTGGACCTCGGCTTTGTGAGAAGTCCCGGCTACTCCAGTCCCTTCCATGCAGGAGCTGAACCCTGAGGGCAAGCTGCAAACACTCAATATTTAAAAGACGCTTTCGGGTAGGTATTTTAACAGCATATTAAAGACTCAAAGATTATGGTTTCTTTATTCCTATTGTTTCCTTATGTCCTCCATTTTGCTGTTTCCTTACAGATCCCTCAGACCTACTAGCACGTGGCTGATCTGTTTCTCTTTGTGGCGAATTGGATTAAACTGAACGTACCACTGCCAGGCTAATAACACAACAGAGAGAGTCTCAACTGGCCTAAGGAAAAATAAAGGTCATTCTTGGAATTCTTTTCCTATTCATTTGTTTATTTTATTTTATTTAAGGGGAGAAGAGAGTACAATTTGGCCCCCAACTACGTTAATTAGCTTTTCTATCTTTAACTCTATAGCCCTGAACTGTGCAAGTCCAGATGTCAGATCAAGAATGCCAAGCAGAGAGAATTTTCAGAGGTTAAAAGCTATGAACTGCTCATGACTCAGCTTCCATATTACAGTCAGCTGCAGAAGTGGATCTTTTTTCTTGTGTAGGGGATTCAGTTCAGAAGCATTAGGATTCACTGAAGAGCACTATCTTGTATTACCATCCAAAGTCTTGAAATAAGATGTCTTTAATCAGTGAATATTATCTTAAAGGTGGCCAAACTTTAGAATGTATAGAAGAATTCTTGTGACTTTTAAAATTCCTTCTTGATAACTAAATGTTGCAGAGGTTTATTTCTTAAGCAATGATATGGGCCCATAGACACTGAAACTAATCCATGAGAGGAGTCAAATTAGTGACAGTGTTTGTAGATTTCTGTAGAAATAACCTACACATGCTATCTTGGACAATCAACCGCTAAGGAAGGAAAATAAAGTTTTAAATGTTACTCTTAAACACTGTACATGGCCCAAGGAATGGCAGAAGGGAAGAGCACACTCAGATCAAGTGTGCTGTAAGTACTTACCTTTCTCTTCTGACTCCAAGATCTCTTGCAACACAAGGAATGAGGCAGACTGTCTGGGTGGCTCATTTGACTCTTGATTCTCCTGAAGCATCTTGTAAACCTCAGATTCTCTGCCTATGGCACTGCTGCCTGGGGGCTGACTATGTTGATCTAAACTGAGGAAGGAACAGAGAATACTCTTGTTAAACAGATAAACACCAACGCCAATCCCCCTAGCAAAGTTTTCACCATCATATGACTGAAGAATGAATGCACAAAACAAATGCACAACAGGAGGCCATAAATGCAGAGGTGCTGGATGTGCTCACACAAGTCAGTGCAGCCCAGGTGGGGTCACACTGGGCTGTCTGTGTTCGCTACTGTGAACAGGTTCTCGCTGACAGCCCCCAGCCAGTCCCCAAGTGTTCTCCCTGCTTCACAACAACTATATACTCCAGGAACTAAAGCTTTCTGCCCAGGAAATCACTGCTCTGTTAACAAGAAAATAAAGAACTCATGTGTTGGGATGGGAATCCCACATGGTAGCTGTACCATCCATGCATGTGCCTTGCATGCACAAACTACCTTACACTACTACTGTATACCAGTGTGAATCTCAAACTAAGAAAAGTTTATTCTATTAAAAAGAAATCCTTACCACTACCCTATGAATTAGTTCTAAATGCCACCTTCACAAAGTAAAAGCTGTAGAATCTAACCAGAAGATTCTCTGATTAGCAATAATTTAACCTGTTTTTCAAGTGAGTGTTATTATTTCCATTTTATAGGTGGAAGCTTTGAGCCACAACCCATTTACAGCATTTAACTAAGGTTAATGAGCAGGTCAAGGGCAGAGGAGATTTCTGCCTGCTAAGGCTAAGCCCTCCTTTCAGCTGTCCCCGAGGTGCTGCTGTCACCCTTCATGTCAGGAGGGACTTGCACCCTCAGCCTAGAGCCTGAGGTGCTTCAGGGGAGGCTTTTCACAGTGCAGAATGGCAGAAAGGGCGGTCGTTGTGCCACTGGAAGGGTCTTCACGGAAAAAAAAGGAGGCTGGAGGCAGTACCTAGGATGTTCTCCACATCCAGTGGGTATCTGATAAACTACAGGCTTAAACTGCAGGAGGATATTTAGCATATCCCTTGGGAAAAGTTTTCCAATGGACACTGAAATAGTAGAGGAGATTGCCATGGACAGGTGAGCAACCTCCATACTAAATAGTCTGGACAAATATCCACTGGGAATTATTTAAATCAATGGTTTAAATTGCTAAATGCTGGGCTAGGGGATGGACTGAAGGACAAAGGAAGTTTCTGCCTGCCTTGTACTCTGTAGCTGCAGTAAAACATACACAATAAAATAAGATATCTGACAAGTCTCCTCTGATGGTTCAATTCTATAATGCAGTCTTAAAAATCTAAATTGTCTATTCGGTTTCACCATTCCTGCACTCTGTGATTGCCTGAAAAGTACATAAACATCCTGAAGTTCAGACTAAATCGCAGAGGGAAATCCTTTTCTTGAGGAGGCAGCTACATACTTTCCATGCCAATGTGCAATTGAGTCATCCAGGAGTTACTCTACATAATAAACTCTTCAAGCATCAGAGGTAAAATCATCAAATTTGTTATAAAATGCTATTTCCATAAAAAGAATTTAATAAAATGTTTCCATATTTAGTAATTTTCAGAGGAGCAGGAAGCACGGACATGCAAGCAACTGAAACTTTGAATCCTGAATCTCAGGAATTCTGAATTACTGAAGCCTCTCGCCCCAAATAAAATAATGATGTGCCTTCTATTAGACAGAGAATGTCCCATGCTCCACATTACATTCAGCTCATGTAAACTCATATACTCCCACCACTCTGTCCACCCATAAAAGCATTACGCAAGAAGCCTTTCATTGCAGTTTGCATGCTAAGAATGTTTCAATAACATGCATCCAAAAAGCAAAGGCTAATCATCTTAAAGAGCACTAGAGTCAAACAAAGCCATCACATTTTAACCATGCACTGTGGTAGTGGAAAATACACAAATCAACTCTCCCAGAGATGCAGTCTATACATACGCTTACATATACAAGACTTCCAAAAGGCTATAAAGAAACCCCAAATCCTAGAATTTGTACCAGCAGAGTGAAATACCTCCAACTGCCAGGGCAGAAAAAACTTCATCCAAAAGCACATGTATCTTCTGAAAGGGTAAGGCCACAGACACAGAAATTATACTTGCAGGTTAAGGAGTCTCCCTATGCCAGTTGATTTATGGTACCTCCTGTTACAAAGGTATTTTTTTGCAGCAATCACTAGCAACTGGTGTCCTTTTCCATGAACACAAGTTCCCTGATGCAGAAACTTTGTAGGGGACAACTCCAACAACCTTTACTGTGTTTCAGACTCATACAACCATTACTGGATCTCATTGCTGCTACCATGGGCAACTTGCAATGCTGACTAACACTGGACCACTGAGCCTTCAATATTGGCAAGAAGATGGGAATAAAACCCATAAAAAAAAAAGAAAAGCACAGCTTATTTTTTACTAATGATATTTTACTATTTTATGCCAGCACATTTTGCAAAGTTTACAAGGATCTCAAAGCTGGGCTACAGGAAGGTCCAGTGCTCAGAGCGCTCACTTTTGGAATGAAACAATTGCTGATGCCTGGGGCTCTTTTGTGACCATTATCAGCCGTCCAGGCCAGCACAGCCAGCTGGCAGTGTGACCACTTCTGGCATGCACAGCACTGACTATAAGCCAGAGCAGTGACTTACAGCAAGTAACTGCACTGACTAACAAGGAAGGAGTAAATCCTCAGCCTCCCATTATCTCTAGGCTGCTGGCATGCAGCAAAGCTTGGCTATGTGGGTCCATGGATGAAGACACCAGTTTTTCTGCTCTGAACTACATGGTGGTCAGCCCAGAAGAGGACTGGGAGCAGCTGAGGAGCCATGAGGTCTGGCTGTGTCCTTTTGTTCTGTCTCATGAAGGCCACAGGACTGAACACCTCCCTAGACCACGTCACACAGCTGCAAACTGCTTGTTCACATAGTGGGATAACTCTGCTGAAGGTTCACAATTCAGCCTTGACTGGAGACCTCCTGTGAGATAGCTAAATGTGCCTTCTGCTTCACCTGTCTCAATACTGAAGTCCTCCCTGTAAAACCCTGTAGCCTGTCACTCAGAGGCATGAGCAAGGGGGTTCTCAACTTCCACAAAGCAAACATCAAAGAGCACGCAGGCCTTGTGATGCTGAGGCTCTCTGCAGGTCCTCTAAACCTCAGAGCGTGTTGAGCATCCCCCGCTCCTACAGGCAAACAGGTAGCCTGTGATGCAGCAACCTCTGCAGACAAGCGGGCAGGGGTGGGAACATGGACTGAGCCCTCCACATGCCTGCTGCTCCAAATCCATGAATGCTATGAGCCAAAGATGGAGACCACGGGTATCTGTTTCAGCCTGAAATGAAATATGCCCAGCACAAACCCCATGGCCAGCGAAACAAAAGAACAAAGTCGTGTGGCAGCACCTGCCAGTCACAAACAACAACAGTCATTTCAAGTGCAGGAGAAACACCAGCTTTCAGGATAAAGCACTCTCCTACTCTCATCAAACCCATCTGCTGCAGGTGGCTCCTCCAGGAAAGCCACCAGCTGCCATCAGGCCCCGCTGTGTGGGTGTGCAGGGGCAATGGACACACTGACAGGCTAAAGCCATGTTTTGGTGTTTCCCAGAGTGTTGGGCACAGGCAAAATGCAAACAAAGCTCCTGTGAAGAGTCATGCACTAATGTCAGAAGGGTGAAATGTAAATGTTGTTTTCTTGTGACCGGCCAATGTCATGAGCCACAGACAGGGACGAGGGACTTGTGGACACTAAAATGCAGACGAGCAGATGTGCTGAGCTGGCTGCAGAGGCAGTGGACAGGTTACCTGGGGAAATCAGGGCTAACAGAAGAGATTTGCCCCTGCAGGGTGTCCATGATGTTGCTCTGCGAATAGAGCTGCAAGGGAGAATTGAACTGCCTGTGCAGCACTTTGAGTCCTGGCACCTCCACTTCCACGGGGCTGTTGGGGCAGACCTGGGCCACGTGCTTCAGCTGCTCAGGCCCCACTCGGACCTGGCTGGGGACGGAGGAGGTGCTGTGCCTCCGCTGCGGTGACCCGGAGCTCGGTGCCTGCAGAGGGTTATAGACAGAGGCGACGGGAGCCCGCATGGCACCCACTGGCAATGGGCAGCTACGGCCCCACGTGTTCACATGGGCAGTGAAAGTTGTGTTTGTTTGGGGGTACATTTGGAGATTACATTGTGGAATTGAGGGAAAAATGCGCAGGAGGAAGAAAGGAAAGAAGAAAGAAATTAATGAAGGATAAAACCAAATACTCCAAGCCATCAAGCAGCTGCAGAATACTGTCTGAAGGACACCCACTGAATATATGACTTTACATTAAAGGCTTCTGGCTAATGCTGTGGCTCTGGTCTCGCACTCCAGGTGTGTCCACACAAAAACTAAAATGCAGGCACTCTACTGATGAGCAAATGCAGGGGTTGTAAAACCATGAACATGTGGCTGCAGGGTTTTCACTACGCGCTAGCTCCCTGCACAGACACTCATGGTCCCACTGTCCAGACAAGGAATGCCACCTTCATTGCTGCTCTTCCCAAAGCTAGCCTGCGCATCCTACTGATGGGCAAGCTCACCTCCCGTCCCAAAACAGATGTGCTCAGCAGCAGGGCTTCTCCCTTCCTGCCTGCTTTGTGACACCGAATCCAGCGCAGATGTTTGCTTTTTTTTCTGTATGTACCCCAGCCCTGCATTTACATCACACACCCTTTAAGGATGAAGCATGGACTAGGTCCCCAGTCATGTCACCATGTGCAGTGGCAGGATCAAGCTGCCAGGTTCAGACAGACTGTGTATCTGCAGGGTGCAGGATGGGGATGCAGACAAATGTCAGGTAAACCCAGAGCAAGGTCAGCCATGTACCAAGTAACTCAGCAAAACAGATGGGCAGAAATTTAATGGTAGCTGGAAGGCTGTGTGTAGGGAGAACCTACTGGGAGAACCAATCCTGTGCTTGTGCAGTGGGGAGACAACAGCAGGTTTTTAGTGGCAGGCTGAGGTCCCTGGCTCCCACTGAAAAGTGGCAGCAATTAATTTGCTTTTGGTGACACTGTAAACAAAAGCATCCAAGGTTTCATCCACAGTTACCCCAGCATTCCTTTGCAACTTGCTGTGTTTCAGCAAGGAAAAGATTAAGGAGATGCCATGTATCCCACATGCAGCAGGGCTGGCAATGGACCTTCCTGTTAGGAGGAGCACAGTGAGCCACAGCACCAGAAGGAACCCTCTTCTTTGCTGATCCCTGAAAAAAAAGGGATCAGCCACAAGTTTCCAGCCAAATCTACCTGGCTTCCAGGAAAGCGCTCTCACCTGGAGGGGACTCCAGACTAGACCAGAGGTATTATTTGACTGCCAGCTGGTCCCATCAGGTTAATGCAAAGTCAGATTTTCCTTGTCCTGCTCTGCCTCTGCTCAGCCCTTGAACAAGGTTGCTGAGTCTACAAAGCAAATGAGGAACAATCTGTCACCTTGTCTGCCAGCTGCAGCACTGTAACTCTGCCTAGAAGGGACCATGTTGCAGACAGGGCTGCCAATGCAAGGGGCCAGCTTCAGTCAGGGACAAGTTTTCAGGTTTGTGTTCAACCACAGTCTCAGGTCTTTGTACCCTGCAAAAACAGAGGTTGAAGTTGCTTTTGTCTCCCCATTCACAAGTCAGAAATTTAGTCAAATTACCAAAAGCATTGGTATTGCAGCTTTTATTGTAAAAGTGGCCAAAGTCTTCCAAGCAGTTCGATATTGTTATGCAGAGACTTAGGGCAGTTAAGTAGCCTGACCAACACAGCTAAAAAGATTTCAGACAGCTCCTGGTTTATTACCTCCAATGAAAAAAAAGGGAAACGTTAACTTCTAGGATAAAGTAATGTCTTTGGTGAGGCCCAAATGCAAATACAAAAATTAACAGGCCCTTTAAAGGTTGGGACTCTTTGTAATCTCACACATAAAATCACTCACACAGGTATGAATGTTTCAGCTACTTTTAAAAAGTCCTGTGGAAAGCAAAGTTTGCTAACAAAACACAGAAATACCCTAACTGTGCCAGAGCCTGTTTATGAATCCCAGGCTAGCCAGGAACAGGGATGGGTGCGCTTTCTGTTCTAGTTGGTACCTTTCCTGCCCAGCACTGCAGCAAAGCCAAAACAAAACATTAACTTTACAAAGTGCTCATAACAAGCTGTCAGGCACCTGTTCAGACCAGCAGGTTGGTATGTCATGCTGAATGCACGTGGAAACTGCGTCGGTCTCTGCTAAACAAAGAAACACAACAGCATTAATTTCATTTCTGCATCTCATGAAACGTTCCCCACTCCTTTGAGCCCTGCTCCTGGGAACAATATCCACGCTTGTGCCTCTGCTACTTCCCTTGATCTGGAAGAGAACTTTTCTGGGTTAACAAATTGGTGCCGTCGCAGCAAACTCGTGTCTCCTGGAGCCTTCCCCTGGAGGCCCAGGGAAGGATGGGAGGCAAAGAAGGTACTTACGGCTTGGTAGGCTCTGGGGCCCCAGGTGATGTTTTTGACTCCACTGCACTGTTGAAGGTCTGGATGTTCTCTGAGGAGTAGAGGCCTGCCGGGCTGTTGTATTGAGCAGTGATCACTCTGGGGGCAGAAGCTGTGGCAGCAGTGAAGGGCACTGCGCTCCGATTGTGTGCACTTCCTATGTGCCTTATTTCCTGCATGCAAAGGAGCAAAGGCAAAAATCAGAGGTGCTCAGGCATGCAGGTGGATGTGAGAGGGCAGCCTGGAGCAAGCAGCCACTGCACTGGTGGCCTTTGCGTGTGGTGTCAGCCAAGGAACAGGCGACCACAACCACCAAAGCAGGTGAGCATCCTCCACATGTCATGAGGGCCCACCCTGGAGGGCTTCAGGATGACCTTCAGGACATTTCAGAGTTGACATACTGGGAACATAAGAGCTGAGAAACACTGCCAGAGCTATTAGCTCAAGGTGCCACACACCTGGGAACTCCTCCAAGCCTATGATAAGCCACAGGACCTACCTTCTCGTGCAAGACTATAGATTTTAAGCATTCCTTGCAATTCCTGAGAGGAGGGCTGATTTCTATGGAAAAGTGAAGATGAGGGGCAGAAGGAGGAGCACAGCTCAATGACATCTGAAAATTTGGCTTCCCTTAGATAAGGGCTACCCAAAAGGAAGGGATTTGCCATTACTACAAGTGCTCTGGAGCATCTCTGCTCCTTCAGCTAAGACTGGGGTTCACAGCTCTCTTTGATGAACAACTTTGGAATTTCGGGATATGAAATTGCCAAAATAAAGGTGGGAAGATGACCATTGTTAATACAAAAGACTGTCCACAGGCAGTGACAGCTAACTGTCAGCAACTTCTTCAGCATCAGAAGTATAAGATATCACCCAGATGGTTCTGGGTTTGCTGCAAACTGGAGGCTCCCAGCAGTATTAGTGTATACTTAGAAATATGGCTACAATTTAATAAGGGGCAAATCCAAGTTAAATAAGCCAAAAAGTAAGACTCTTCTTAATCACAGGCAGCGCTAACAAAAATGGGGATATTTCTAAGCCCATCATCAGTTCAGCAGGCTGGGAATTGGCAGACTTAGGGTGGAGATAACAACATCCAGGGTTTACTTTTCCCCAGAGAAAATACTTGACCAAAGCAAGTAGAAAGTACAATGGGGCCTTACTAGAGCAGGACTAACAGTCACAGAGGTGGCTGAGATATGGAGGGTTAAAAGATGGCACCAAAACATGCTTTTTGAAATGTTTCAGCCAGCTGTAAAGATCTGGCATGGCTTCAACACAGGGCTAATGTCCAATGGCACAGGACGAAACAGGGCACTTCTTAGCGTGCTGGGCCCATGGGTCCCAGCTCTAATTAACACAACCAGTTCCCACTCCCACTCTATACAGGCGCTGACTTTTACAGCAATGACGTGAGCCTTCACTGCACTGTAAACATCTCACAGCATTTGTTTGATAGAGATACAGTTACAGGATAAACAGTCTCCAGAAAAAAAGTATGACTAAATCCACCTACAGATTTTTCTTTAAATCACTTTTATGTCCCCAGACTTCCTTAGGCAGTTGGATAGCCTTCCCAGACTGACAGATGGGAGTCATCTCATTTCATGGCGTTCAAATGCTACTTATGGCATCAAGCAGAGCATAGGATCCCTCAGAGAAGAGTAGCATGGATCCAAACACTCATTAGTTACAAGTCATTTGAAATCAGTGGGGTAGCTCAAGTTGTTCAGGTGTGGGGTGACAGGGCTGCTCTCCCATGGCTTTCTGGCCAATGTGTATGGATGTCAGCCATGAAGCTTTCCCACACACCAAAGGAACAAAGAGTGGGGTAATTAGCTAATCTCCCTTTGTTTCAATCTCATTCAAACCACAGAATAGCACTCAAGAAAACAGTCTTTTCCCATGGCAAAAGTGTAGACTTCAGCAAAAGAAAAAAAAGTTACTTCAGCCTGTATATCACACCATAGGGAAAAATGATCTGATATCAGCATTAAATACACATGCCACCATTTGGAGGCCACGAATGGGAGAGGATTACAGATATGCACATAAATAGTCGCTTTAATGAAAGACAGGCAGAAGATTTAGGCTAAGGGGGCTATACTCATAGGTCAAATAGGCTCAAAGTTGAAAACGTGTCACAAAACGTATTGCAGAAACATTTAAGTAACAACCAAGAATTAGAGAAAATAATTTACAGTATTTTTTTTTTTTTAATTCTGATTTCCTAAGGAAGTAAAACATCTCCATTACACACCCCAAATCCACATGGGCACATTTCCACATCCACCTTTCTCAGCCAAGCCCAAATCAGCTTGACAGTGATGAAGGCCTCAAGGATCCTTAAGTTCCTACAAGTGTTCAGAAAATAAGGCAGCTAGATGGAGAAAAGAGACTGACACCACATTAGAACCTTGATTCCAAGAAGAACTGCAACACGCACTCAGGCACAGAATCCAAACAGGAGCTTTTGGCCTACTTTTGACCACCAGATAGGTTTTCTGCTGTGTAGTAACATCTAAGACCATAAAGGAAGCTTTCAAAAGTATCAGGACACCTTGTAGTAGCTCTCAGGTGGACAAAGGTCACTGATCATAAGGGAGTTTATAATGGTTAAATAGAGAAATCGGTGCAAAAGGTGGTGTCTGAAGATTAGATTAGAAAAATCCCATCTGGAGAACAGTGCTGAAGGTGTATAACCCAAGAGTCTGTACACAAGTATTACAAGAGCAGTAACATTATAAAGGTCATTTGGATAATCCAAATTCTCCAGCGCTTCCTGTCACGCCACGCTGCTCTTTCTGCTTGAGCTGTGGAAGGAATTTGCAAAGAACAAGTGCCTTCATGATCCCAAGATCAAAAGATAATGTGTTTTCACTGTCAAATATATTTACCCAGGGATTTTCCAGAACTGCCAATCCAGGCCCTGTGCTGTGCAGCAGTTTTGTTAAAGCCCCAGCTTCTGGAATCATGTGCTTCTGTGAGAGTCTCTGACTTAGTACTGGAAAAAAAGTCAGATATGTGATATTCCCAAAAACCTGTCCACCAGCAGGCAAGTGAAAAATGTTAGTACAAAAATGCTGCTATACTCTGTGTATGTGTGGGGACAGCAACTGGTTTATGCAGTTCAGGTGCCTGCGGTTTGCAGCGTCTCTAAAGCTGTGGCTTTCCCAGGACCAACACAAGGAAAAGAGGGCAAGCAGCACTAAACAGCATCCATGGCTGGGGCACACACTGCAAGAGCAGTAAGCAATCATCTGTTTGCAAAGGAAGAATAAAAGGACAAGATCTTATCCAGTCAGGACATGACCTGCTCTTTCTTTGACAGTAGTACAGAGGACGGTGACTAACATTAGATCTCTTCAGAGATATCTTCGGTGGGCACCTGCAGGCAGATCTGAATCACTTGCCTCACCTTCCTTGCAAGCTTTCCTCGCTGCCTCAGTTCCCTTACACCAGCCCTGTCTGCAGCGGGCTGCAGTCAGCAGCAAGCAGGGATACTGACAGTGGCTATTTTGGTCTGAAGCTGGGATATGGAAGCTCCAAATCCTCCAGGCAGGATATTCAAGAGCAGTATTTTACCACTATAATCTGATACTGTGATAGTTGAATTGCCTTGTCTGCACAGACACCAGCCCTGTTCCCCTCCTTCCTCTGCAGAGGTATGTCTCCAGAGGGGCTGGCAGAGTAGCTAGACCAAGCTAAAATAGATTAGCAACTGCACAAACTTCTCTGCTAGCTGCTTCTGAACTCCCACGTCAAAATTTAGCCATTCCTTCAACAGCCCTCTCCCTACCTGAAACTACCTCCCCTATAAGAACAAGCTCCAAGTGGCTTTGGAGCCCAACCTCATGTGCTCCAGGCACCAGTGCCAATCTTCCCATCCCACAGAAATCCCAAGGACAAACAAGGTTTGCAGGACCCCAGCTTTCAGTTAAATATGCCCGTCTTCTGCCAGATGAGTTTTTTGGGTGCCGGCTGTTAATGTCAGTAGCCCTCTCTGGGGGCAGATGGGGGCACTGCACCACAGCCATTCCAGCTGGGTGCTAAGGGGCTTCACCACCGTCACTCCAGTCCTCCTGGTAGAGAGCTGCCAGCAAAGGTACCAGTCTGGGGGGACAGAGAAAACATCCCTGTGCCGGGGCAGGAAGCAGATCAGCATTTCCTACTGCACCGGCTGCAGGCTGCGTCATGGGGAATTTTCTGGGAAAACAATGGCCCCTTCCTCCCTCTCAGGCCATGCTTGGCGACACTGATACCCAGCCCACAGCTACATCAGCTGTCACCTCTGTGCCTGGGGCCAGCCACCAGCTCATGGTGTGGGCAGCTGCTGCCTCTTCACCATACACCATACACGGCTACCACCACTCAACCTGTTTGTACCAGGAATTGGGATGTGGGACTCCAGGGAAATTCCCAGCTGTGAGCGAGGCAGACAGACAGACAGCCAGTCCAGGATGAGCCACTTTGATCAGCTAAGCTGGGGCTCATCCCATGAACCAGGGGCACAAAGCCATCTGGAAACCTCCACGGCCTCGTGTGTCCTTGGGCAGGCTGGGGGTAGACTAGGGTGAGGGTGGGCTTTTGGCACCCTTCCACCCTGCAGTGACATGTCCAAGGCCATTCTGGCTGCTCTGACCTCACCACCACCATAAACAGGAAACTGGAAGCTTTTTGTACTCACTAAATAAACTAAACCAAGATGTGAGGGGTCAGACAGCCTCTCCCGTTTAGTGGGGTTTCCTCTCCCCACAGCACAACCTGAAGGCA